CACGTTCGGACGGAGACCGTCCGTACGCCCGTACGGCCGTCTGTCCGTCCGTACACACGGGCCGTACGAAGACCCCCCGTACGACGTACGGGGGACGACACTGGGTAAGATTCATCCCCCGATGGGTCGTAACTGCCGACATATACATTCAGAAATGCCCTCGTGTGCACATGATCTTGAGAAGAACAGTGGCCCCCTGTACTTTACAAAGTATAGACAATGTTACGTAGAAAACGTACGGGACTGGCAGATGTCATTCATTCTGTACTCGTTCTGTCTGTGGGACGCTGGACCCGTTTTCCAGCAGGTGATGCTCCCCACCAATAGATGGAGCCTCTTCCCGGGTGCTAGTGGTGTCTGCTTTTACCAGCACCGCTAGCACTGTAGGGGGTGCTGTTTTAAATAATAATAATAATAATAATAATAATTAAATGAAAAAAAAAAAAAAAACTATGGGACAGTGGAACAACGTTTCTCGACTTCCGCAGAAAATCGGGAAATCTGGGATATCTCCAATCCGGGTCTGACTGAATGTGCATTGTGCATCCCATTCCTTCCCCAATCTGGCTCGATATGGCAATTACATACCCCATCAATCTCACCTTTAAACCACCGGTACTTAGCCCAGCTAGCGATGCCGAGCCTCGCAACACCCTGCGCGCCAAGTCTTATCGAACTGCCCGCGCGCCTTTCCATTAATGTCGTTCGCAGCCCTGAATTTGCCCTGCGCTGCGCGACGCAAAAAAATGAAACCAACACGGATGTACCTGGCCGCCGGCGCCAGCCGTTTCGCAGCGGGCCTGCACTTCTGTGTTAAACCACCAGTACCTCCACGTTTTTAGGCCATTAACGCGGAGTCGGAATCGGTGCGCGGCGCGGGTCCATGTGCATTTGCGTCGGAGCCTCCCCAGAGGAGGCCTAAGACCCCCTGGGGTACTGGGCTATTGTTTTTCAAGTGTGGAAAGGTACTGGCGCTTTATGTCTGCGGCTATTCTATGAGAAGACATTGAAATGCCACAACTCCATTTTACAGTTTTCCAAAGGATACAATCGTTGTGGCTGTCAAGTCTCTCGAAATCATGAAAAATGATGAAAATCCCATCTTCGATGTACTTACTCTCCAAAGCGGGACTCTCGAAAGTCTAGAGCACTATGCAACAGCACTACCCAACACCTAGACAACTGGTTTTATTTTTATTTTTATTTTTATTTCTATTTATTTATTTACTAGGCTACCAGCCGGGCCGCCCGGGTCCCGGGTGGCCAGCCCGTGCAAGGACCAGGGAAGGTCCCAAAAAAAAAAAAAAAAAAAAAAAATCAAAAAAATCCGAAAACAAACTATGTTATGCAGAAAAATAAACTGAACAACTTTTGCCTCAGGGTCACATCGAAATTATGCACCAAATTTAGGAAAAAAAATAAAATTTAAAAATATTTTTATTGTTTATATTTTTTTTATTGTTTTTGGCCCGGCCGGGCAAGTGACCCCGGGCCACTCTGGTAAATTATTATTTATTTATTTTTATTTTTTTTTGAGAAAAGACCCCTTCTGCAAGTTGTCAATCCCGGCGGTGGTAAGAGAACCGCCGGAATTGAGGCTTTGCCTGTCGGGCTGCTCCATCTATTGGTGGGGAGCGTCAAACTGGGTGCAGCGTCCAATCAGTACATCCATCCAGAGCATTATTTCTTCGAACTATAGCCGTTTCAGTTTCTAGTCTGGAGCTCCGTGTTTCCCTCAGGGCTGCATATGACTCGAGGTGGACCTGAGAAAAACCCTTGCAATAGCACGGGCAATTGCAATAGCACGGGCAAGGACCCTTGAAAAACGGTGAGCTGCAGGCAGGGCACTCTTTTTTTGTTTTTTTCCTTTTTTTGGGAAAAGTAGGTGGGAGTCACAAAAATGAGTTATAACTTATAATACCTTTCTCGGCCTTTTGGCTAAGTCAGATCAAGTGTAGTATTTGTTGACTGATCAGTTTAATATTTGATCTGTGGTCCATCGGGCCACATGATATTAAATTAATTTCTTAGGGCTACATGATATTAAATTAATTTCTTAGGGCTACGGAGGGGTCATAGGGGTAGGCTTGCCTACTCGACCCTTCCAGCGTTGCCTTCGTATTGCACTGCAGCGGAGCGTGGCGCGGCCCATAAAAGAAAAAAAGAGTTATAATTGCAGTATGGGCCAAGATACAGTTTTGAATTGCAGTTCCGGCAATGATCACAACCCAGCTTTCTTCCCAGGTAGGGTGCCCCAAGTGCAATTGCAAACTGTATCTTGCCCCATAGTGCAATTGTAACTCGTTTTTGTGACTCTACTAGAATATAAATAATACAATATAATACAATATAAGAATAATTAAATATAAGCACCGGGGCTGTTACCTGGCTTCGGCTGAGAAAACTCTGAGAACAACTTGCACCAAGTAGTAATGAAAGGGCTTTTTGTTATTAAAAAAAGCCTCGAAGGGGCTTATGGAAAAAAACAGACATCTATGCAGTACTAAATTCAAAAGGCCCTTTTGTTTTTCGAGGCTTGGCTCACAGGAGAATTCAGACCGAATAACCCACCTGCCTTGGTCCTTTCAGTGGCCCGACCCTACCTGCCTCGCCCGTATACCCCAATGCCCAATCTCTACCAAGCCTCAAGCCCCCAACTGCTAGATTACAGAGTGGCACGACCCACCCCAGAAACCCCCCACCTACTAGGCAACAGGGCAACGCGACCCACTCCGGCTCCGGCCAGCGTCGACTAGGCACCAGCTCACCAAAAGACACTAGAGTGCCTTCCACCCTCGACAACTCCCCACAGATCTCTCTACCAGGTCTCATGTCCTCGTACAGCTCGAGTTACAGGGCAGCGCGACCAAGCCGCAGCACCGACCAGCGTCGCTCTGGCCTCGTCTATTCGCAAACCCCTGGGACTCGGGACTACGGCAGATACCAGTCAAGCCACCAATCAGCGCCATAGCTGTACATCCGATCATCCATCCTCCAGGCACTAGTTGCAGATGTTGCAGATAAAACCTTCTCAGCCCTACTCCAGCAAGTCTTACCGCAATGGAAGAACCACCATCTCTTTTTTTTTTTTTTTTTTTTTTTTTTCCTCCACCGCTGCTATACCCTATTTCAACCCTGCAGGCTGGCCCCTTCGCCGCAGAGTGTGTCCTCTCCCACCATCACAGCCACCACAACCCCTGCCACTAGCACCAAGCCTTACACAAATTTTCTTCTTTTTTAAGAAATTCATGGAAAAAAATTCGAAATACCGGGGCCATTACCCGGCTTAGGCTAAGGTCCTGGATGAGTCCAAGTTTCGAGATGCAAATAGAGAGCGAGTTCTGACAGCTCTCAAAAGTGCAGTGACAAGGGATTCTCTCGCCAATTCGTGAATAAAAAAAGAGAGTAGTACCTGTGGACTGCGACCCAATGTCAAGTGTAAAAAAAAAAAAAAAAAAAAAAAAAAAAAGTCAAGTGTGCATTCAAGTTTGCACATAGATAGAATACATTTTGGGCAAAAAAACAGTTTCAAATTGCACTTGGGGTGATGTCAACAACTTAATACAAGATAGCTTTCCGGTCAGGTAGGGTTATGTGGGGTTGTGTTAAGTTTCAAATAATTGCACTTGGGGTGATGTATACAAGCTAGCTTTCCT